TTTTGCAGCTCCTTCGCGACCTCCATCGAACTTCTATGTCACTGCAACTTCTTCTACCATTGTTACGGCATCATGGCAACTACCACTGGCAGACTCCAGAAATGGAATTATAAAACGATTTAAAGTGTTTTACAAAAGGAAAGACTCCTCAGTGTCAGGAACCATCCTTCCTATCAACAGTAACTCAACTTTAGACAAAAATGTCACTGGTCTTAATAAGTACACAGAATATGAATTTCAAGTGTTGGCCTTTACTTCTGTTGGGGATGGACCAAACAGCTCTGTGGTTGTTATGAGAACAAGCGAAGATGGTGAGGACAGCTCTTTGTTTCTTCTTCTAAAAGTGTTATGGCTTTTCATAAAAGGCCAAATACATGTATGTTTTTCCCAAATAAAACGAAAAATGCAAATCTGTAGATATATGCATGTACATGAGATATGAAATATCATCAGATTCTCAATATGATCCATAAGACCATTTTAACGAATGCTCTCGGTAAATTAGGTTATTGATAAAAAAAAAAGCATTTTTAATATATAACAGAATCCAACTGAGTAAACTATGTAGAAAGAGGCACTTTATTTAAAAAGTATATGGAAAAAGATTGTAAATACCATTTGAAAGTGGAAAACTTATGTATAAGTTTATCATTCATAATGTAAGGAGATAACGATCGTTAGGATTGCGATAATTTCTATTGATTATGCGACTTCTCAATTGCAGTTCCTTCAGAGCCCCCTGGTGGCTTCACTTTGACTGCAAGTACTTCCACTAGTATAACAGCATCCTGGCAGTTACCACCAGAAGACTCCAGAAATGGAGTTATAACAGGATATAAACTGTTCTACAAAAGAAGAGGCATTTCAGGGCCAGCAAGCATGCAGTCCATTAACAATCAGGCAACTCGCACTAAAGAGGTGACTGGGCTTGATAAGTTCACGGAATATGAATTTCAAATATTGGCTTTCACTTCTGTTGGGGATGGACCAAATAGTACAGCTATTTTTGAGAAAACAAAGGAGGCTGGTAAGAAATAGGGATTTAACTATTCTTATGAAACGAAAAACTTTTGGATGCTAAACATGTCTCTATAGGATGTTTTTGAGGCCTAAAGAAGAGGCCAAACAGAATTTATGAAACTTTGTCTATGAGTTTGTTTGTCCTATCTCTTATTTAATAGATATTAACTCAATCTAGCTTCCAACACATAATTTTATGGTAGGTGTATATGGTTGCCTGAGTTTTATGGAAATAAACCTTTCCCCGTACACGCCTGGTATTACTCTAACAGTTTTTGTCCATTAAAATGTCCTATTTTATGATGGCTTAAGAGGGAAAACGTTTAAGTGTGCTGGTGACACTGTTGAAGTTACAAGTAAGGGAAATACATTAATTTTAGCTTTAAGATTGAAGTCTGTCCATCTTAAAAAGAGGTCTCACCATTAAAATCTTGTTCAAAACAGTCAAAGCTGCCTATGCACATGCAGCATGGGTGGTTAAAACATACAGTGTTGTACTTTATGTCCTATTGAACAGGTAAGAATAAGTAATATAGATGGGAGACTCTTAAATGAAACTACTTGTTATCCCACAGACGTTTAAATTGACTTATAGGAAGAGTCAAACCAAAGAAAAAGTTAAAGAAATTTGGTGATAAAGAATAAGTGCACCAAAATTATGAGAGCAAGCTCCGATCTCGTCTGTTAGAAATCTGTTATTACCTTTACCAGTATCATTAACTGTAAATGTGCCTTGATTGAGCCTTCATACTTGGTCATTTCAATTACAACTCAGACATCTCTGCGACTGAATGTGCCACTCTCTCAAGGAGGCACCAATGGATATCTTCCTGAGTAAAAACGTCCAAGCGAAAGTAAGAAATAAAAAATCTGCGTGGTGTTCTTTGCGAAATGCTCACTATGTTTGTGAATAAATTAATATATCGTGTACGCGAAAGAAGAGTTGCACCATCAAGCAATAAACAACAAACGTTATTTGAAATAATGACTGGCGCTATAGCTGTAGGGCATAAAAGGAGTAAGCAATGTATGTTGTAGATGAATTATTCGAATGCGAGACAAGGCACTTTCCTGACCGAAAATACACCTGCAAAATGGCGCAGCATGTTTCTGGATAAATTGTCAGGGTGGCTGGGAAAATGGAAGAGACCCAAACTCTTTTTTTTTTCTTGAGTTTTAAGCATGTTCAAGATTTTATATGTAGATTTCTGTTTTGAAAATTACAGATTTTGATTTCGTTTCGTTTCGCAAATTACACGAGAGAGGTAAACAACAAGATAGTTTAGGAATCAACTAGTTACTTTTTCAAGACACAACAGCGATAATATTCATGTGGCAAGTTTAGGTATGGTATTAAGCTTTCAGATATTCTAGTAGCTAAATAAGTAAACTTAAATACACTATTATCCAATTGCAGCTCCTTCGCGACCTCCAGCTAACTTCTCTGTCACTGCAACTTCTTCTACC